TTGGAAGAGAGACGAAACGTTTCATTAAAGAAGAACCGTCCAGAGGACCTATACAATTTTTTTCCTTTGATTTTTTTACCTGGATTACTGAGATGCATCAGGACATCTTATAGATTGATTAACAATTAATTAATAAGCAGCCATTTTTTTAAAAAAAACTGGAGTTTTCTCTTGATTCTAGAGGGTCTTCCCATGAAATGAAGGATTTAATAATCTCCTGAATTAAAAAACAGAAGCACATAATACATATTTTAACAATTTAYTTTGCCAGCTGTATTAAATACTGACTGAAAAAATGTGTATTTCTCCTACATGAAACATAAGAGAAATTTAATAGGTTGCTGAATGAGGAAAATGGATTAAAATAATAAAATATGATTTTTAGATGTAAAACTATTATTAATTTATTATAAATGTTATGATTGAAAGAAAGGCAGACAGAAAGGCAGATGTTGCAGTGGAAGGTGTCAAAGCAGTTTGGAGAGAAAAACAAAGTAAAGAACAAAAAAAAAGAAAACGATTAATCGATTATTAAATTGGCCATCGATTATTTTAATAACCGATTAGTCATCGATTAATCGATTAATCGTTGCAGCCCTACATAACTTTCATTGCTGTATGTTCGGCCCCTCAGCTGTTGACCTGCAGTAACTGTGGCCCCTGGAGCAATTTAGTTGAATAGCCCAGAAATACAGGGGAAACTGAGCAGTGGCCTCTTATTTTTTTCCAGAGCTGTTTCTGTATGTACGCTGTATCCATGTGTAACAAAACATGATCATAAACTGGAAGCCAGAATAATTGTGCAGAAAACCAAGTGAATTATCTGGTAAAAAGYTTTATTCTTCAGCTGTAAAACTCCATTTCCTTGTCCGAGCCACTGTCTCCCAGTGCCTGTGTGTATAGTCCTGAGCTGGAACGTCAACAATTCTTGTTTACATTGCAGAGGAATGCACTGAGCAGAAATATAACAATTCTATCCCTGTTTAATGCAAATGGCTATGATTAATCCTAAAGTGTAAAATAAGACTGTACCTAAAATTATTGAATTAGTCACAAAATTTTCTTCACATGCTTTCTGTAAGAATTCTGCACATTCATTCCTTTGTCCTGTCCTTGTCCTCACTTCATCTGGTCATCCATCTGTCATGTTATAAAATCTCCTTCTCTCTCATTTGTGTTGATGCTCTCTCAGCCTCCTCACAGCCCAGTGGAAAATGAGCCCAAATATCCACAAACCTGCTGTGTGTGTGTGTGTGTGTGTGTGTGTGTGTGTGTGTGTGTGTGTGTG